AGAAGCAAACTTGGACAAGTTCCACGTAGGCATCTTGCCGAAATGCGCTACGGTAGGTACGGCTCATATACCCATGCTGCACCGCGGTCGCTTCATGTCCTTCCCTTCGCTTCATATTTTACCAAGCAAATGAAGCAATACGAGCATCAGGTACGGTCGTCCATTTGTGGGTGGACGGGCGCGGTAGGCGTCCGGGTCGGTATGCTGATAGGGCATCACGAAAATAATTCCCCTACAAGAGAAGCTACGTAGCGCTTTCTCAGGATGTCTTGCCAGGCTATCTAGCATACCCGACATGGGATTTATAGAGCCAGTTGCCTTGAATGTAGGATTGGTCAGCGGCGGTCGTCTCGAATGAAGTTGAGTCGTGTCAGAGTCATGTAAGAATACTTGACGGAGTGTTTTCTGCAAGATAATAGGGATTTTCCAAGCAGAAGGTGTGAAGATAGTGCGAACTGCAGTATTGGTCAGAACGGCGAAAATTCTGTGAAAGAGACGGTTCAGTCGGTAGAAGAAGGAGCCATCACAAAAAGACGTCTGCAGCGATGCGGAGCGCTCTGGTAACATTCTCTCACAGAGAGCTTGAAAGTATTACTCCATTCGGGCCATGCTGTCCTCACACACGAGTTTCCTCTGAGACCATACTCTCAACTACGAACGACTTCTGATCCAAAATAATGGAATGTTTGTTTGCGTGAGATAATTGCCACTGATCAGAACAGAGGACCTATTTGATCAAGTCGTTAAGAGCTTCATTGATATGCAAGCGCTGTCCGTACTCTGCAAGGCGTTAAGACCAATAGTTGATGTATCCTGTCCGAGATCAGAATTTTAAGCAGAGTGCCTGCCGGTCTGCGGCTCTTCGAGTGCAGCTGGCATTCTTCGCAACCCTTCTGGGGCGTGTCCCCGTTTATAGCGCGGAAGCACTTGCAATCATAGCAATCAATGCGCGTCTTGGCAAAGTCTGAAGCTTTGCCTGAACATCGTTTCGTCTAGACAAATGCAAAGCCTTCGGTCTCTCTTCAGTACAAAAGGTTGAAAAGCAGAAAATCTCGAAGCTTTTCTCCCAGTTCGGCACCAATTTTACGGCTGATAATATGCTCGGATATCTCTGTGTTGTTCCTCCGCTATCTCTCTGGGGATGTGTCCTCGTCTATAGTTGTCACTCGGTCTACCGTGAAATTCCTCGAACTTTGACGCGATAATAATTTCTTCGTGGAAGGGGGTCAAGGTAAAGAAGCGAAGACGAATGGATTAGAGCTTTGTTGAGTTGATATTCATCTCCATGCTGTGTAAGAGTTCCGGAGAAGAAGTCCCCGGTTGTCCCTTCCGCAAAAGATCCTAATGTGTCCTACAGTGAGTGAAGATGAGGTTTGACGAAAATGAATTCGCACAACAACCTCGACCATTATCAATGGACATTACTGTGTACCACGGCGTAAGAACAGTCAGAAGGGCTCTTTGTAGGAGAAACCGTATCAATGCTACAATTAAATGCAAAGGCGCTATGAGACGCCTAGAATGCAGAGCACTTTTTGCATACTGCCGGGAAAACCTTCCGTAACATTCCCTTGAAGCGAAATAGTGGGTCCTGTTCGAGTTTCAGAGGAATGCGGAAGTGATGACAAATATCAGGCCAGGTCATCGCGAAGTATTTGGCATTTCGAGTGTCCAAGGTACCGCTAACAAGAGAGGTCGTTCAGGTCATGGTGAGCTCTTTGGGAACGGTTTGCCGCATGGTATAGGGGGCCCTGCATGGATCGATCAGATGGAGTTCGTTTTTGCCTAACCTTATTGGAAATGTCAGAGAAGGAGAAGAAAAAATTTTTGTGAAAGGGCGATCTAAACCACTCTATTCAGCTCCGTTTTGGCTGTAGCGTAAGGAGTGTGTACTTCCTAGGTTCCTCTTCGAATAACTACGGAAAACAACGTGAAGTGAGGTCAGAATTCATGTACTTCACTTAGCTTGTGTTAGCTATATAGGTTTCTTCGTCATTCCCGCATGTTTCATCAATGGCTCCCGTATCTCCCTGATAACAATGGACGTTTGTAGTGGTATAGCGCAACGGGCTTTCGACCTATCGTGATTGGGTCCGATCCTCTTGATCACATTTTCATTGTTTCTTCCGAAAACCCAGCCTTTGGTGTTGAGGCGCGCCTGATAATATGTAAAATCCACATATATGCCATCCAAGATCTGATTCTAATAACCAATGTTCTGGCACTGAAATCAATTTGAATTTGTGTGTAGGGGCTATTCGACGACATGCTGACCCCACTTGACCTCCGCGCCAAAAATAAGCGTCCGAATTGTGATCGGGGTCGTCACTCACTTCTGAATGCAAAGTTCGGCAGAATCTTTTCCTGAGCTCTTTGAGCTGTGATGACCGAACATGTGCAGTGGTGGATGTCATTCTCCTCTAGAAGTCGTATCCAACCTCGCTACTTGAAACTTTCCCTTTCCAACCCTTTGGGTAAACGCTTGACTAACTGCAAAGTTCAAAAAGGAAGGACACATGTATACTGCACAATATTAACACCTGATTTAAAAAAAGCAAATTCATTTTTCCCGGCAAGGCATAACGAGGTCTTTGATAAAAGGCGAAAAGGCGAGTTGAGAACAAGATTGAGGATGCTCTTTGAGGTGCTGTGGAGCTAATATGGCGTTCTCTCAAAACATACTGGACTCTGGAGTGGAAATTTGATGACGGTTATTCTCGCCCTGATCTACACGGTGTTGAGATGTAAGTGTTGGTGTGCCATCCAAGTGGTCGATGCGCTAACACCAGAGGAGCTCAGGAAATCAGTTGCCGCAACTAGGATACTGGTGAGGCAGATGACCCTAGCACGATCCTGAAATTCACTTTGGAACTGAATCCACTTCGGTTCAGCATGGCGCTAAATAGTCACTGCATGGGGGGGGGGAGAGGCGGCGGGAATCGTTGAGGAAACTTCGATGTAGCTCATCACATGCCAAGTGGATTACATGGGCTCAAACATTCTCGCGTTGTTTTCTTTGCCTGATTCAATAACACTTCATAACCTCTAACTCCCTCAACGCGACAGCTTGGACGGAGCTTAAAAAACTGGTTGAACATGCCGCTTTGTTGACGTTTTCTAATTTTTGACATTCTCAATATTGTTTAGCAAAAATCAACCCCATTTGTGTGGTCCATGCATGGATCTCTAGATCGGCAACAAACCGTTTCCATGAAAGGGCTGACGCATGACAGCGAACGAAACCTATCCCGTGTAAAGGAGGCCGCCCATTTGAACGTTGATTTCAGGCCACATTTTTATGGCTCAGCTCCGCGAGCTGTCAACAGCCTAGCAATGCATGGCACGACTGCAACAAGCCTTGCCGCTGCGAAGAATATAATGAAGGATATGAAGAAACCTCATCTTGAGAACTCCCCGTGTAACAGAACCTTGACTGCTTTCAGGGAACAGGGCTAAGACATTTTGTCTCCACACCAACTTCTTGAAGTGGATTTCTGAAGGAGAATTCAATGGCAAATGGCATAAGGTTAACAATGCAGGGAATGAGTGGATTTTTGAATCAGAGCTTTTAGTATGTCAGGATTTCGGGACACTACCTGAGCGAGACATGCAGTAATCTTTTGCGGAAGAGTAGCCTACCCACATGGATCGCTCCATTGTCAGTTCCATGAAAACTCCTCGGTAATCGGAACTCGTAGTCGGCAAAACCTGCAAATAGTTCACATTCTGTTGAAAAAAAACTTGCAGAGAAATTTGAAGAGGTCGTGTGGTCCTAGATGATATGATATATGATGATCTGGACTGGACTCGTCTCATGATAAAAATATCATCTTGCTCAGTTAGTTGAATTCTTCGACGGAGTTGATAAGTAAATTGAAACGTGTGTGTCCTTCGAAAATTTTTAGAGTTATACCTCTGATGAAATTCCTTGTCCAGTCTGTATTTCTTGCTAAATAGGAACCAGCCATCACTTCCCAGTTATAGAAGCGATCGTAGAATATGATATCGGCTTGCTTATCAATGAATTCTTCGATCGTCCTTAATTGAGGCTGATTGAGATTGACATCACTAGCTCTGACGTATGTGCTGGGTTGTCAACTATTTGCATCATGAGAGCATTCGAAGCTAAACCACATTAGCCGGAGAACTCGCAAACTCTTCCGCTTCCACACAACAAATGCACTTTGATCTCTCCGCGAAAGAGTGGACCGTTGCTGTTGCACCTAGCGGCGCTTCCTCGTGCGTACTATCTCATAAACCAGAAGGGCACCAAAGAGCAAGCCGAAGGTTGTCGCCAACCTTATCAGCACGATGAAGGTGAGAAACACCGGAGAATCCTATCAGAGTACAGAGGCGAGTCAGAGAGTCAGAGTACATGACCCGCGTAATGCGCTGTAATGCGCGTCGATGGGCTCCAATCACAACTTCCAAGCGCTCCCTCATGCTATAGACGCCAGCTCTGCCTCAGGCGGGTATAGATCGCCAGTGCCTAGGCTTGATAGAGCTTGTGAATATGAAGGTAAGCTCGCTTAATCACAGATTTGGTATCTGGTCCGTGTTTTGGAAGAATATTGAAGAATAAGAGGTTACAAATCGTATGAAGACAGCGTTTATCTTTCTATTATCTTGTATTCTTCCAAACACTAGCACATAACATTCTATCAACTAGCGCTGATAGATTCCTGTCCGCGGCACGACGTATCATCGCTGGAGGCGTAAGGGAGAAGAGGGAGTCGTACTTGGCTGTTAAAGTGAAAGGTGTAGAAATGAAGGGGCGGTCAGAACCGAACAGCGCGAAAGTGTCAGTGTGCTAAGTGCTGTAAACAAAAATCGCTTTTTACAGGGCCCGGATATGCAAAGAAACAGCCCAAATGTCGATCATTAGAACTGGTCTACGGAATACTGATAGGTTTTCAAATACGTGGATGACTAAACGGTACAGATTATGCTCTGGTGCGCAGCTAATAATGGGGCGTGTCCGCGCGACTGTGTCTTGTGCAAGGCCGACCGCGAATAAGCGCGGCGCCTTTTTTCTTTCGGCAAGCAGTAAGACTATCATATCGTTCGTATCAGTCGTTTCTAGCAGTCGATGTAGCTCATCCGGCAAGTGGTGGGGAACGCATGCGGCGGCATGCCGAAAATTAGGCAGAAAATAAAATAAGGGTAAAAAAAGTTCGAAGCACATATGATCCGTTTCTCTTGTTCCTCTAGAGAAATCATCGTCTCGCCAACCCCCAAGTTCATCCGTAAGGATGGGTGACGAAACATGTAGAGGAAAGGGTCACAAAGATGGAAGAAGGGCACCACACAAAGTGGTTAACAAAACGTGTAAGAGGAAAAAGATTTGGTCGTACTTCATAGGTCGAAACAACTGGGGGAGTTCCAGGTAAGGAAACAACTCACACGGCACAGCCGCGCTGCACCGTGACGCGACAGCGGCTGCGGCTCGGTGACGGTGAATCAGCTGATTTCGATGGAATTCGGCTGCAAATTCCCACTTTTTCAGCTCTTCAAGCTTCTAAAGTGGAAGGTGAGTTATTCTGAACAATTTTGAATTGTACTGGCTCTGATTTCCTTTATTTTTATGTCGATTATTATGCTCTTTTCCTTGTATTTTGCCTTATTTAAAGGCACATTCCGCGATAAAATAAGGCTATGACCTCTCAAATGTGTCGGACGATCCGGAAGGCGATTTTTGAGGCTGCGCTACTTTCAAAATGTGAAAAACGGCAAGAACTCCGCTAGAAGCTGACTAATTAGGCCCATGGACACCCCTTAGG